AATCAATCTGACTGGATGATCTGGTTGAACTGGAAAGTGCCTTGAGATTACATGTGTTATGAATTGGCACTATAGAAATAAACTGAATTGAATTGAATAGTTCCTTATATTGATTAAAAATATATATATTTTTTAACCTAAAACAATGAGTGGAAATGAGCTTCCTTTTCACGCCTCTCTGTTAGATGGCGCTGCGGAGCCCTTTTGCTGTTTGCTGCAGCAGCATTTCTGTAGTTATTGAAATATGATGGTGAAGATCCTCAGTCATCCAGGTCGATTCTAAAAATAGTAAAACAAAAAACAATCCACTGAACTCTGTTTCCAAGTTTGAAGACGTTTCGCTTCCCACCCAGGAAGCTTTTCCATTTCAAAATGTCGGAAATAGCGTTGAGTTTGAGACTTTATAGAGTGGACCAAAAATAAAGCCTTATTTTGGTTTAGAAAACATGCAAATTGAAACGGATAAAAGGGTCCACCCCTTTGGAATGGGGGTCGTCTGGCTTCTTTGTTAGCCTGCAATGCTCCATACCTGTCTATGTCTCTGAAAGGGGGGTCGTTAAAGGGAATATTTGGCCTGGCTGAATAGGCGAGGTCTTCTGTTCTCCTGTAAAGGAGTTGGGGCTGCAATGAAAGCAGGAAGGAATCAACTTTATCGCTACATTCACTGCAACATATTCTCATTATCAGTTCGTATGAAATCGTACGAAAAGTTATGCACAGTATTTCGTACGCTTTGGACTTTTTTCCTCGAAAAAACAGATCAGTGCGCATGCGCAGGCAGACAGACGAAAAAAGCAGATCCGCGGACAGACGTAAAACTGGGAAAAACAGTGCAATAATCACTTCTTCATGTCTCTAACTAGGTTGCTTGCTGTTTTGTATCTTAGGGTTAGGGTTAATTGTTGTAGATTCTATGTTATTGAATGGTGCGTAACATGCGCATGCGCAAGGATATCTTGTCTTGAGGCAAGACGTAAAAATACGACGAAATACGACGAAAAAAACGTCAAAAAACGTACAAAATTACGGTGCATAACTTTTCGTACGATTTCATACGAACTCATAATGAGAATACACTGCTACATTGAAGGTTTTTGGAAGCTCTGTTTAGGGTTGGTTTTTCTTTCTTAACATAGATGCTTCCTTCCTCTCAAACCACCT